CAATCTCAAAAAATCATTGCTACATTGAAATCCAATAACAAAATCATGTTCACTAATCCAAGCAAATATCACTGAAGATGTGAATATTCACATAAATGTGGATATGAAAACAAAAGTAATATGAACAAAAGTAATGTGAATATTCACATGAATGTGTTTAATATTCACATGATAAATTTTCAATTCAAATTAGTGAATATTAACACTGATTAATAATATGAACATTTACATCATTTTTATATCAACACATTACCAATCTCAAAAAATCATTGCTACATTGAAATCCAATAACAAAATCATGTTCACTAATCCAAGCAAATATCACTGAAGATGTGAATATTCACATAAATGTGGATATGAAAACAAAAGTAATATGAACAAAAGTAATGTGAATATTCACATGAATGTGTTTAATATTCACATGATAAATTTTCAATTCAAATTAGTGAATATTAACACTGATTAATAATATGAACATTTACATCATTTTTATATCAACACATTACCAATCTCAAAAAATCATTGCTACATTGAAATCCAATAACAAAATCATGTTCACTAATCCAAGCAAATATCACTGAAGATGTGAATATTCACATAAATGTGGATATGAAAACAAAAGTAATATGAACAAAAGTAATGTGAATATTCACATGAATGTGTTTAATATTCACATGATAAATTTTCAATTCAAATTAGTGAATATTAACACTGATTAATAATATGAACATTTACATCATTTTTATATCAACACATTACCAATCTCAAAAAATCATTGCTACATTGAAATCCAATAACAAAATCATGTTCACTAATCCAAGCAAATATCACTGAAGATGTGAATATTCACATAAATGTGGATATGAAAACAAAAGTAATATGAACAAAAGTAATGTGAATATTCACATGAATGTGTTTAATATTCACATGATAAATTTTCAATTCAAATTAGTGAATATTAACACTGATTAATAATATGAACATTTACATCATTTTTATATCAACACATTACCAATCTCAAAAAATCATTGCTACATTGAAATCCAATAACAAAATCATGTTCACTAATCCAAGCAAATATCACTGAAGATGTGAATATTCACATAAATGTGGATATGAAAACAAAAGTAATATGAACAAAAGTAATGTGAATATTCACATGAATGTGTTTAATATTCACATGATAAATTTTCAATTCAAATTAGTGAATATTAACACTGATTAATAATATGAACATTTACATCATTTTTATATCAACACATTACCAATCTCAAAAAATCATTGCTACATTGAAATCCAATAACAAAATCATGTTCACTAATCCAAGCAAATATCACTGAAGATGTGAATATTCACATAAATGTGGATATGAAAACAAAAGTAATATGAACAAAAGTAATGTGAATATTCACATGAATGTGTTTAATATTCACATGATAAATTTTCAATTCAAATTAGTGAATATTAACACTGATTAATAATATGAACATTTACATCATTTTTATATCAACACATTACCAATCTCAAAAAATCATTGCTACATTGAAATCCAATAACAAAATCATGTTCACTAATCCAAGCAAATATCACTGAAGATGTGAATATTCACATAAATGTGGATATGAAAACAAAAGTAATATGAACAAAAGTAATGTGAATATTCACATGAATGTGTTTAATATTCACATGATAAATTTTCAATTCAAATTAGTGAATATTAACACTGATTAATAATATGAACATTTACATCATTTTTATATCAACACATTACCAATCTCAAAAAATCATTGCTACATTGAAATCCAATAACAAAATCATGTTCACTAATCCAAGCAAATATCACTGAAGATGTGAATATTCACATAAATGTGGATATGAAAACAAAAGTAATATGAACAAAAGTAATGTGAATATTCACATGAATGTGTTTAATATTCACATGATAAATTTTCAATTCAAATTAGTGAATATTAACACTGATTAATAATATGAACATTTACATCATTTTTATATCAACACATTACCAATCTCAAAAAATCATTGCTACATTGAAATCCAATAACAAAATCATGTTCACTAATCCAAGCAAATATCACTGAAGATGTGAATATTCACATAAATGTGGATATGAAAACAAAAGTAATATGAACAAAAGTAATGTGAATATTCACATGAATGTGTTTAATATTCACATGATAAATTTTCAATTCAAATTAGTGAATATTAACACTGATTAATAATATGAACATTTACATCATTTTTATATCAACACATTACCAATCTCAAAAAATCATTGCTACATTGAAATCCAATAACAAAATCATGTTCACTAATCCAAGCAAATATCACTGAAGATGTGAATATTCACATAAATGTGGATATGAAAACAAAAGTAATATGAACAAAAGTAATGTGAATATTCACATGAATGTGTTTAATATTCACATGATAAATTTTCAATTCAAATTAGTGAATATTAACACTGATTAATAATATGAACATTTACATCATTTTTATATCAACACATTACCAATCTCAAAAAATCATTGCTACATTGAAATCCAATAACAAAATCATGTTCACTAATCCAAGCAAATATCACTGAAGATGTGAATATTCACATAAATGTGGATATGAAAACAAAAGTAATATGAACAAAAGTAATGTGAATATTCACATGAATGTGTTTAATATTCACATGATAAATTTTCAATTCAAATTAGTGAATATTAACACTGATTAATAATATGAACATTTACATCATTTTTATATCAACACATTACCAATCTCAAAAAATCATTGCTACATTGAAATCCAATAACAAAATCATGTTCACTAATCCAAGCAAATATCACTGAAGATGTGAATATTCACATAAATGTGGATATGAAAACAAAAGTAATATGAACAAAAGTAATGTGAATATTCACATGAATGTGTTTAATATTCACATGATAAATTTTCAATTCAAATTAGTGAATATTAACACTGATTAATAATATGAACATTTACATCATTTTTATATCAACACATTACCAATCTCAAAAAATCATTACTATATTGAAATCCAAGAACAAAAAATCAAAATCAATGACAATAACAGAATCATGTTCACTAACTCAAGCAAATATCACTAGAGATGTTGTTTTCAATGGGAACAACTTTTTCTGTTGAATTTCTCATTTGAACATATAATCAAATACTTGGTGGGCAATAATTTTAACAATTGTGAAAAAAAAGAACATTATCCGAAAGAAGAACAATATGAAATGTGAACATTCACACTAATTGACAGCAAAAACAGAAACAGAGCACAAACTCCTCTATCTCCTCTATCCCTTTGATTCAATCCAGTCGAATGTGGGTTTCAATCAATCGACTGAACAAGTTTGTAAGCCATCCCATCTATTCCTTCCATTCAAATCCTCATCTTTTTCTTTGATTTCCGGTTGAAATAGTAACTATGACAGAAAAAACAAGAACACAAACTCTGAGTCATCATCTTCTTTCCTACAATAATGAAACTCTACTGCAACGAAACACTACCACAAACTCTGTATCATCGTCTTCTCTTCTATAGGAACGAAACCCCACCACAACAAAAATAGAGGGAAATATGTATACCATTCTTGTATATAATATATATCAATAATAGATATAATGGTATAATAGTTTAACAAAAATTATAAATTAGGAAAAAAGGACCTTATGGAATAAAAGTATAAACACATGGGACTAATTAGGTTATAATTTTTCTTTGTGGACTTATTGGGATAGAACATCTCTAGATGGGATTTATCAATAAAAAACCCATTAAAGTATTAAATTGGGAATACAAATCTTTTGGACTCATATTCCAACGTTTAATTGTAAATTTTTTCTATTGCAATTAGATATCTAATGGATAGCTAATCCCACAAAAATGTGTATATGTTCAGTATTGGTCATCAAATGGGACCTGCGGCGGACCGTGGGCCTGAATTGAAATTTATTTGTACTTTTTTATATGAATCACCGAGTTGAAACATTAAAACATGGTTTCTGGTGGACCGTGGTCCAACCCTTACATTTATCGAGTACTTGAGGGATTATTGTTTTATATCATGTCACAAAGTAATTAATTAATAAAAAAATTAAAATTTTTCTACCATATTAAATTTGAATGGTCAGGGTTGTCATATTATTCAAAAGATTCAATGTCATCGATCTCTATAGTCAAGTACCTATATCGTGGAATGAAATGAGAAGTCACAGGTTCAGTGAACTAATGGTTTTATGGGACATTTTTTTATAGGTTCATTATGTAAAAGTTTAATAGCTTAAGTTTTACAAAAATAAATAAGTAAATGTAACATATTAAGTTTTACTTATCATTCCTTGAATGAAATACTAGTATCTTGTTAAAACGTGATATGTGTATGAACAAGTTGAATGAAATACTAGGCAGATACTTTTTATTTTGTTTTAAAATTTTATTTCTATGAATTTCGTTTTACACAGCCATTTTTCAGTATATCTAGATTTTTGGATCCTATTCAATGAAATTTATCAAGCAGCATTCATATTAATATAAAATTTTGAAAAAAAAAATGAAAAATTCTCAATTACATAAATTCACACAGTTCATATACAAAAAAAATTATGAAATTTTACTTTCTCCACAAAAAGTGTGAAATTTCCACAGTTTCTTTGCAAAAACAATGAAATTTTGCAATATTTCACTAATAATTTAATAAAACTTTGCAGTTTTATAGATATTTTTGTAGTACATAATATTGTTGTAATATTAATTTAACACCAAAATCATAAAGCAAATATGCAAGTTCTTCATAGCAAGAAACAACAAAATATATATATTAGAAAAACCCATGTCCATAGCCAAGTGTATATCCATGTGGAGTCATGGACAGACCTAGCTCAGAAACCTTAACATCGCGAGGACCACCTCCAACATGCTCTCCCATGGAACTTGACCCAGCTTCAAAAAACCTCGAAGGGTTTTATTCCTCCATCTGAATCTTCTCGCCTTGCTTCACAACATTCTTCTTTAGATCCTCTATTGCCACATTCAATTGCTCGAGTTGTTGAAGTCTAAGCTCACTAACCAGTGCTTCCCACCAACACTTGTCTCGGCTATCTTTCCTCATCTTGTTAAGCTCTTCGCCTTTTTTCTTCTCCGTTTCCAACGCATCAAGTGCTTCAGTAAGTTGCAAGTTAAGCCCACGAACATGCGTGTTGCGGTGAGCCTCGACAAGTTGGAGTGAGCCTGAATTGGGTTGAGGGTTTCGAGAGAGAAAGTGATCTACAACGGTGTAAACACAAGGACTCAATAATACAAACAGATGGTGCTTTAATTTTAGAAGTCCCTTATTTGGTTGGGAAGAAGATGAGGTGTTGTAACGCCCTCAAAATAAATGCGTAAATCTATCAATCATAATACTCATAGACATAAGAGAATAAAACATATTCATTCATTAGAGTGTTCTTTACAAAAATATTACATATTGACAACAAAAGTAAATGCCCTATGGGCTTACAACTTTCCAAGCCAACACTTGGTTACAACAAAAGAGGGTCGGAAGTCCTTTACAATTAAAGCCCTCGGCTTGGAAATAAAAACATATACACATAAACAAAACAACAAAAGAGACTTTAGCCTCGAAACCACCCAAGCTAAGTCCTTGGAGGCGGCATATCACCTGTACCTGAAAATGATGTCCCATAAAGGGTGAGCCAAAGCCCAGTAGAGATATGCTAAACCCGATATGAGAAATAACTAAAACCTTAGCATTTGATAAGTGTTCAACTCATACATATCGGTTTACATCAATTCTATATTCCATCAACATTGATATTCATCTTTCAAACTGGTTTAATTTTTATTTCCAATTCATCTTATTGACATGGTTCGTTTATCCAAATGATTCAAATGAGACTTCAACTCATAAAGACAACACTTCAATTCATCAACAATCTAAAATGAGACTACAACTCATACTATCAACACTTCAATTCATTAACATCATTCAGATGTATAAAAGATTTCGAGACTTTTACCCTGGACACTCTGGCCAACTTAATTATCAATGGAGTTCATCCCCTATCTCTTCCCAAATCATGGAGTACATCCCCTATCTCCTCCCAAATCATGGAGTACATCCCATATCTCCTCTCAAACCATGGAGTACATCCCCTTTCTCCTCCCAAACAGAATACATATACAATGTATTTAAACATTTAATCATATACAATGATCAATTAAAGCACATATTCAATGTGTCAATCCAACTGTCATATTCAATGACATAATTCAGTTGCTTAGTTTCAATTTACCTAATCATCATACAGTTCTACAACAATCATGGCTATCCTCCACCGATAGCCCAAAACAATTATTTCTAAACAGATAATAAATTTACCAAACAGATAATTTATCAATTTTTCCATAGGTGGGTGATTATTCAATCCAACCACACCATCAATTCACAATCCTTCCCAATTTCATAATTCCACAATGAATTTACTATTTATACCAAATAGTTATTTAATTCCTAATTAGGGCATTTTTTCCAATTTCCATAACATTGACCCAAAAGCCCAAATCTCACCATTTCAACATTTATACACTAATTACTCCATCTCAAGACCCACATATACAAATAGAGTCTAAAATTGAAAACCCCTCTTTTAAATATTTCAAACTACAAACCCTAACTTTTCCAAAATTTCCATAACCCACCACTTATACAAAATAACCAAAATTTATGTTAAAACTCATAAGAAGGAGTAGTTTATCCCTACCTCAAGTGGAGAGACTCAAAGGAGAAGATGAAGAAACTTGGGAGTGCTCCAAATCAACACTTTCTCGGATCCAACGATAGCCCAAGAGATGCTCTAACTTTTATACAAAGAGAGTAGGATAGAAACCCTCTAGATTAAGTGTATTTGTAGAGAGAAGTAGTATGTAGAGAGAGAGAGAGAGAGAGAGAGAGAGAGTTGGATCTAGGGTTTGGAAAGAAATGGGGATGAAAAAGTGATGTTCAAACCCGCTGCTGCGAACTGATATATACAGGGCTCGCTCGAGCGAAGGAATGGCCGCTCGAGCGACTAGACACAAACAGACCTCGCTGGAGCGCAAGAAGCATCACTCGAGCGAAAAACGAGGAGCTTCAGGTCTGTAACTCAGATGCACGCTCGAGCGCAAGAGTTCTCGCTCGAGCAAAGGACCACAAAACATAAAGCGAGCTCTCTCGAGCGACAAAAGCCTCGCTCGAGCGAAGATCACCAACCTTCAGGTCTAACTAGACGCTACGCACGCTCGAGTGCAAGAGTCTTCGCCCGAGCCAAGAGACAAATAACACAGACCTCGCTCGAGCGTAAGAAAGCTTACTCCAGTGGAAGGGGCGTCTGAAAAGAAATCTGAAGACCCACAATACTCGCTCGAGCACAAGAATGCTCACTCGAGCGGAGAAGCAAATACCCAGGCCTCACTCGAGCGCAAAAAGCCTCGCTCGAGCGAAGAAGCCAAATTTTGGGCAGCGACCATTTGTTATAAAACATAACCAACCTGTAACAAGCTTACCTAACACATTCCAAAACTCAAATACAGGGAATTAAAGGATGTAAAAAAGATATAGACAACAACAACAACAACCACAGAACCTAAGTCCGGAACACAATACATAATAGAGGGAAAACCGGGATCGCTATACATTTCCAATCCATTCCTATTTCTGACATTCCATCATCATCCCACTATGCTCCTACTTTATCCTCCTCTGCTATGGAACAAAAGATGGATCAGTTGGCCTCCATGGTCCAACAACTTCTCTCTCAACAAGCAGAGATGCAACATGTTATTGATCAAATAAAGATCCAGCAGGCTCAGGCTATTGAAGTTGCCAAAACAAGTGTGGAAAACATGGTGATTGCAATGTATGGAATCAAAGACTCCAATGAAGAATTTCGCCAAATATTTCAGCAACGTTGGGATGACGATCTGGGTGAACAAATTCACAAATTCATGCTGTGGTTCGCACAAGGTTGGAAAGAAGCAACACCCCATTGGCCCCGCAATCCTCCCCCGTTTCGCTAAGCTCTACCCACTCTTTTTCTAATGACAAAGGGGGAGAAAAATGTTATATGTTATCTCCTTCATAACTAATAGTTTTTTGTAACTGATAGTTTTTTGAAACACCGAGAAAACTTTAGAACTTTTTAGATGCTGTCCTGTTATATATTTTGCACAGTTAGTATGTCACAAAAGGGAAGAAGAAATGATATATATGCGTGCTTTGGTAAAAACACTTTTTGGTTACACAAGTTGGGAAGTTGATACATTGTGGCAATCTTTATATGAATCTTGATATTTTTTTTATAGTATGAAATTTGTTGATATTTGTACTTAAGTGTTAGTTGTGATTGGTTGTAAATGTTTTTATATACACTAGCAACAACACACACACTTGAAGAGTTATGAAAATTGCTTTGTTAAAAAGAGCTTGTGATTTCATTCAATGGAAACAAAATGAAGAAATTTATTGATGAATTTTCAGTGCATATTGACAGGGGGAGCTTGCTCTATATAAAGATTGCTTTATCTATTGAAAATTTTCTTGTCATATATATCTTTCATGTTGTTTTGAATTATTATTGTCTTGGCCTTGAAGCCTTTTCAAATAGGGGGAGTTTTCGATCTCATTTTTCAAAACCTTTATTTACAAAACTTCTTGAAAAACACTTCTTACTATCTTCTCTATGAAACTTGTTCTTTGAGAATTTTTAATATATTTGTCATCATAAAAAATGGGGAGATTGTTAACCCCAAGGTTATTCAAATTTAAATTCTAATTAATTTTGATTATTGACAAATATTTTAAATTCATTTTGTTATTCAAAGTTTTCAAAATAATAGTATACAAATTGTGCTTCAATGGTTCTAGAAGTTATATGATTCTAGAGTATTGTTTTTCAATGATTTTTGGCCTTTGAAAACATGGGATTAGCACTTGGTTGCAAAACTCTATCTATGCTAAAAACAGGTCCAAGGGTCGACACCAAGATAGTAGGGGTCGACACCAAAATGAGATCACAATGCCTAAGTGTTCCAGCCACAAAGCTTGACACCATGAAAGCAAGGGTCAACACTAAATTTCAGAATGTAATCTAGCTGTAAGGGTCGACACCAAGACAGCAAGGGTCGATACAAATTTCAGTATGTAATCTAGTAACAAGGGTCGACACTAAGAACAACAAGGGTTGACACTAAGAGCTTGTTTGGCATGTGCTAAAATAGCACATGCTATTTAGCACATTATCCTATTTAGGTCACAATCATCTTATTTGGGTCACATTACCTCTCTACTACATCACTTCAAACCCAACCCATATTTCACGTTTTTCGTAAAAAGTCAAAAAGTATACTAATCTAGCACTTCCTAAACAACCCCTAAATTTCAGAATGTAATCTAGCAACAAGGGTTGACACCAAAAATGATAAGTGTCGACACTAGAAACACCTTAGAACTCAACTCAGAGAAGAGAAGAAAGCAAAGGATTAAAACCTAATCTGTAAGGGTTAACACCTGTAAAATTGAGGTTTCAAAAATCCAGCTGCCAAATCAGATTTGGACTGACACAACCATTTTTCTCAATCACTTTTTCAGATTTATATGCCGAATATGTCATATTTTCTAACCACTAAGCAAATCTCTTGGCACCATATCTTCTACTAAGAAGTTGACTTATGAAGTTGAGCATTAAATAAAAGCTTATGCATTTAATGAACCTTCTCTTACCAAGGCCTGCCTATAGTCTGTATTTACCATACTCTGATCAAACACAGCTGGAAGATGTCCTCCATGATTTGCTGAAACAGCTAAAAGATTCAAATCTCCTCTCTCCAATAGCTAGAAGCCATTAATGCTATAAAGATGAAGCTTTCCTTGTTCGAACGATACACTTCTTCAATACAAGAAACCCAGAGCATTAAAGAGCATTTTATATACTTTAAATGTCAATGTGGTTAACTTAAGTCAATCTTAATTAAACCACTTTAATTAAGCCTATATAAGGCTACTTTGACTCCCTTATTTTACTTTACACCCTCATTCCCTACTCCTTGAGCTCATAAATGTGAAGGGAAGAGAGAATTAGAGAGTGAAAGTTGATCTCAAGAGGCAAAAAGGGAAGAATTGCTAGGAAATTAAAGGAGGATTGGATAATTGAGTTAGGATTCACCAAGAACTCAAAGAATTGAAGACTTTAGGTAAGAAACCAAACCTTAGTCTTCAAGTTGAGCTGATCCACCCATGAATTTAAGTGAATTGAGCTAGGAGATGTATAAACCAAGCTTAAGAAGTAGGAAGGAAGACCAATTCAAACATGCATGTATATTTCATTACATTTGGAGCATGTTTACAAGGAATTCTCTCATGCATGTCACAAATTGAGCTTAGTTGTAGAAATTCATCATGTTTTACATCCTCTCATTTCATTTGATCATGATTTAGCAAGTTGAAGCTCAATCATTTCATGAATGTCATGTTTTTGGAGAATTCATGAAGTTAAGTTGAATTTGTGAACAATTGGCATACTTTTGGGCCTTGATTTCATGAAAGAATCTTGAAATCATGATGTTTTGTGAATATCTAAATGTTTTTCAGAATTTTGGCCCAAGAGGATGAGTTTTGAAGTGTTTAGTTTAAGTTTGAAGCTTAGAGATCAAATCTGGAAATTCTAGAATTTGAATCTGCGCTCGAGCGTAGGAGTTCATGCTCGAGCGAAGCACTATGAATGCGTGCACTTCCGCTCGAGCGACATGATACTTGCTTGAGCGTGAAATGTATGTATCCAGAAGTTCACATGTTTTGCAGTACGCTCGAGCAACAGAAGTCACGTTCCAGCGAGGGCTTGAGTCTCACGCTCGAGAGGAGATCGAGCGTCCGTCGAGCGTGAAAAATAAGTAACCAGTACTTTTTCAGAGTTTACATTCCGCTCGAGCTAAGGAAGTCTCGCTCAAGCGAACCCTCACTTTTTGCATGTCCGCTTGAGCGAGGAAAGCCACGCTCGAGCGTGGACCCTGTTTTCAGTAAGTTTTGGAAAAGTGTTTCAAATACATTTTTGCATCCTCATTCCATCATAGGCATTCCTAGGCCAAGATTAAGGTATAGTAAGGAGGATCAATGAAGAGACACACTAAGAACAAGAACGTAATGCGTTAGATGTATTCCAACGTGTGTTTCAAATGTGTATTTGTTATGTGTTAATGTAAGTCACGTGCCGTAGACCGTTTGCTTAGCCTGCTCTGTCTATCTGCACCCGAAGCCAACTGTGAGTAATAACTTAGTAAAGTTACGTTCAACTTTATTTATTTTTTGTATAATGAATTAAGATCTGTTTTCTAAAATGATATGTTATGTACAATGAATGATTGACCAATTTCTAATAATGTATTCGTGGCATCCTTAGCATCACGTGATATATGTTTGCTGTTGCCCGGTATCAGAGGTTCCATCATGGAACTTATTATGTCTGTCATCTGTTACCCGTACCGGAGGCTCCATCATGGTGCTCAGTATGTATATTCTCTGTTACCCGGATCCGGAGGTTCCTTTATGGAACTGGTTATTCATAATATGTTCTGCATCTGTTCTGTATCTGTTTTGTTAGCGCTAATGCATATACCACGTATGATTAAGCATGAACTTTGATTTCTGTATATGATCTGAGCAAGAATATGAATATAAATCTGTTATGAATCTGAATTATGATTTCTGAATTTGTATGGACATCATTCATCCAAACCCTTTACTCCGTTATTATTCACTGGGCTCCAACTTACTATTTATATTATGTATGTAGGTGAGCAGACACGTGACCAGGCCCAAAGTTGACGGCCTATGTTTCAATTTTTGTCAGCCAACCTTTGTGCCTCCCGAGGAGGTTCCAGATGGAAACAAGTTTAGTGGCTGTTTTTGTGATGTACCAGACTTTTCTCTTTTTAAGTGCATGCAAGATTTCTATTTATATGTTGTTGTAGTGATGTGTAAATTCTATAACTTTTGACTTCGCTCGCAATTTTTTAAAAGTTTTAAATTATTTGTCTATATGTTCCGTGTATGTCATCACAACTCATTGGACCTTGTATATTTTGTATATTTGCTTTTGTAGCCCCAAACTATATGATATTCTGTTAAGAGGCCTTTGGTAATCCAAGGATTACTGGCTGGTTACGATGCTAAACCTATAGGGGCGGGTTTGGGCCATGACAGAGTGGTATCAAAGCATGTGTTTTACCGCACACACAGGTCCATATGAGCTTAGGATGTCCTAGTAAGAAGTAGGGGCATTCCATCTGCATGTGTGAGTGTGTGGTAATCCAAATGGATATGAAAAAAAAAAAAATCTAAGTAAATGAATTGAAAGAAATGAATGAGATTATTCCTATGTTTATTATTATTGGTGTCTCTATAGCAACATGGAGAATGCAAAGGGAAATGATAGAAGTGAATCTTGAGAGGCTCGCATGAGCTGAATGGAACAGATGCTTGTTGCCATGTCCGAAACTGATACAACAAGAAGGACAACAACCTTTGCCCCCTCTGCCTCTACTGGTACAACCCGAAACTGATAATAATGACATTATCAACCTGACACAGAAATTCATGAAAATGAAACCGCCAACATTCTTTGGTGGAATCGAACCGTTGAAAGTAGAGACATGG